TACTCCTCTCATATAGAGGAGTTCGTTGGTATTATATAATAGGTTCAGCTGCTCCAGGCTCAGGTGATCCAATTGTGCGAAGTAGATGCATCCCGGCCTGCCTCTACGCGGCGGAATGGCCATGTCAAATTGAATCGGGAAGCCCTTTGCCCTAACAGCCTCCTCTATGGATTTAGTGTCCGTTCCTACTGGCAGCCCCCTGATGCCTACTTTTGTGGGCTTCTCCTCCTCTGGGGTGAAGCAGTACCAGGACAGATCTGGTGTTGCTCCGGAGAGTTCTTTCATGTATCTTTGAATGATACGAAACTCTTCCGGGCTCTGAGGCGTAAAACGTACCCCCTTCCCGAATGGGCGGGCATGGGGGCGTGGCCTAATTTTTCAGTAAGTATTTTGAAATGCCCCGTCCAATTCGGGAGGCATGCCACGACGATAGGCGGGTACCTTGCCTTCTCGGCTTCTTTTGCCGATGTTGGCTCCTCCGCCGCCTTCGTTCCTGGTACTGCGGGTGCTGCTGCCAGCTGGGCATAACTAGTTGATGGCCTCTGCCCATCATCTTGTGGCAGTCCCGATGGGTTGGTATGAGGCACGGGCGATGATTGTCCGGCAGATGCAGCTAAGGTCGCATATGTAGTGGACCCCCAGCTGTATGACTCTTCGCCTCCCTGCTCCTCATGGGCCGAGTCCATTTGGCTCCTGCGGTCCGGTGATGTGTAGGTGGCTGGTTGGGGTGGCGACGGAGACTTCGGAGGAGTCCTCTCCTTCTTCTTCCCTTTCGCAGATGGTGGTTCCTGCTCCTCATCCGAAGATGAGGAGTATGATGAGGATGATGAAGAAGATGGCGGCACCGGCGATCCTATGCACTGCCTCTTCTCTTTTAGGGAGCTCTCCGTTTCGGGTGGGGCGTGCCTTCTCGCCGACTTCATCGGCCGCTGGGGCTTGGGCGTCGATTCCAACCCACTTGTATGCTCAGATACGGTGGGTTTGAGTTTGGCGCTCGGTGCAGCCTCCTTGCTCGGCGAAATTGGCTTCGGGTTCCTTTTCGGTATGTGGCTGAAGGACTCCACTACCCTGGAACGCTCCGGGTTAGCTAGATCCTTCAGTACGAGTGGCCTATCGAGTATTCCTGGACGATACGGTGGTTTTCTTGCACGAGGGGGTGGGGGGGGGGCTCCCCCGACCCTTTACCGGTCATGTTACACTGTTTAGTTACTGTTTTGGTTGGTGTACGTGTGTCTACGTCTAAATACCTTACCTAGCAGGCTGACAGCTAATCGATGCGCGCCGCGAGGCATGGACGGGAGCGAAGTTGAACGACCGCAACACTTGGGCGCACTGCCTACCCCTTTCGTAATGAAAGGGTTGAGAGAAGTGCTAGAGAGCACTCAAGCACGCGACTAGACACTACAAGGCACGGAACGCACTTGAGTGCCAAGAATCTGCCTAAGGGCCGGTGACCTCGACACATACGTATATATATACATACGTATGTCTATTTGTTTAGCACGCTCTGTAGCCTAAACAGCTTGATAGATTTTAACGTTTGAGGTGTCGTTAGATTCGTCTAATTGTGGGAGTGAGTTAGACTATAAAACATTGTTATATATTTATATATAGAGTAAATTTCTTTTCAGTAAACTTTTTACCGCAGTCGGATTGTTTTAATGACGGTTTTAACCATTAAGCTTGTTGTTTTCGTCGTCGGTTTTTACTTTTTTTTTTAATTCAATTTTGAATACATTGTTATTTATCTATTGTTTTATATTAGTAGCACATTACTTAAAGAACCTTTCTAGTGTCATGTAAAGTAATATATATATGGAATTTAGTTGAAATGTAAAAGGAAATACTATATTTAAATAAAACTAGTTTTTACGGATTTTATCGTGTATATTATTAACTTATTTTATATTCCCCACGTTTCGAGTACTTTACAGCACCCAAGGTCACGGGTACAAGTGATGTATTCGACATCCATATGTCATAGGGAATATAAAATAAGTTAGTACACGCGATAAAATCTGTAAAAAATAGTTTCTATTAAATAGATATGTAGTGTTCGCGTAAACATAAGAAATCATTAGGAAATAATATAGATATAAAATATATTTAAAAATTTATTAGATACAAAAATCCGAGTAATAAAATAAAACCTCCCGCCCTTCCTCAATTGCGTAAGACACATTATTTTATTTTACTACGCGAATCTTAGTTAGTTAAATTTTTAACGTCTTTAATATAAGGTGAGTGGGGGGAAGATGAAAAACGCGGTAAGACAAAAAGGCATCAGTAAAGACAGATTTTGTGTAATTTATCCAATGCAGGCAACATTCATAAGACCGCCATTTTGTTACGTACCACACCTAAGTCGGCCCTTGTCGTTTTGAGGAATCGGTTGTGTGTTTTATAAGGGAATATCTACGCTGTGAATTTTACGCGAGCAAGTCGTGTGTTTTAATGTTACCCCGTGTCGTGTAACTTGATTTACGAGGTAGATACGAGTTTTTTATTTGTATACATACTTATTATTTTTAATTGGTAGTTATGTTGCTATGTCTAAATATCGCTACATTTTGGATTTTAGGATTTATTGTAACATTCCGTCTTTACCCGCCAAAATTTGACGGGGTAAGATAAACATATAAAAGTTTCCATCTTACCCCGTTTTCAAAAGTCATACAAATGGTCTCATGCTCTCAAACTGTACCTGGAAAATGTTTTGTTTTGTTTTGTTTTGTTATAGCCATTATATAACTTGATAGCGGCACAATTTCAGCTAATATTATTTAAAGGTATTTATTTTAATTATTGTATATTATAAGAGAGGCAAAAAGAGCAAGCGAGTCACCTGATGGCTAAGTGATTTCACCGCTGCCCATAGACACATGAAACAACAGGAGTGTTACTTGTGCGTTGTCTTCTCATAAGGTATAGGAACAGGATTCGTAGGAATGGGAGTAGGAACTTAAAGAAAGAGGAAAGACCACCAGACACTCGTTAGTAAATGCAACATCACAGCTCCTAGAACAATGCAACGTCACATCGGTTTATCTAGCAAACGTCAACATTCGGGTAGCCTTAAGAAAAGGGGAAAAGGAACAGGCATCTGGAACTCTCACTCACCAGACGAAACATGGCAGCCACTAAGAAGCTAACCACTTCACGCCGATTTTCTGTGAGAGGGTAGTATCGCACCGGTCAACCCTGCTCATTTATGTGTTACAGTGAACTGCAGACGTGGATCTACTACCATTTTTTTTATTAATGTTTAGATATAATTTTTTTGAAGTTTTTCTATGTTATTAGTTGTGGCATTTTTCTAAGATCTTATTAATTGGTTAGCTGTTTAATTTTGAAATATTTAATTTTTTACGTTTTGTGCTACATATTTTGTTGATGAAAATGGTAAAAGGTACATGTACGTAATTGTGTTTAAAATTATCTTGGCATTAAAAATAAAAAAAAATTATATGATTGATGTCTTTCATTTTCTGTATAATCTTATCCAAGTAAAGTGAAAAGTTTGAGAACCTCTAGTTCAATCTTTCCCCGGCGGGTCAAGATTGAAATATAAAAAACAAATAAGTTGTGTTATCTGTGTTATTTGAAGGTATTTTGATATTATAGACAGTTCTGAAGTGTCAGGACAATTAAAATCGTAGCCTACTGGCAGTCAATATCGTCTGACATTAATTTGAACGATTTTAGAAACTACTTCGATCTTTCCCCACCACCCTTTCATCTTTCCCCCCGTTTTTTTCTTTTGATAAAAACATTGTAATTATTTTTTTTTTTGCTTTCGAATAAACATAACAGGGATTTATCGATATGCCATAAAAATATGTTCTTTGTACTCTATTAACTATACATATAACTTTAGCTTAAGTTAATATGTACTGTTTTACAAGACGTCAAACACAACACTGCTCATCTCATCAAAAAACCGTTCGATCTTCCCTTCCCCCCACTCACCCTAATGGATTTCCGCAAAGTAACGCCTGATTCTATTAATTATAATAAATTATTTCAATCATCGAACAAGATAACGCAATTTATAGTATTCAAAGGAAAAATACAGCATTAAAATGGCAATCCGTAATCGTTAACATTTTTGAGTCAAGGTTGAACCGATATTTGGCCGCCATATTGGTGGACGAAATCACTAAAATTTATTTCCTTAACTTATATATATATATAATCCTAATTTAAACAGAAGTTAAAAAGTACAGGGTTTTTTAGATTACTGTAAAAATAACTGCTGAACAAAGGCCAGGTCAAGAGTACCCTAAACCGTGGAGCATGTAACAAGTATGTAAGGATCGTAGCAAGTGGAAAGAAGTGGTCTCTGCCTACCCCTACGGGAAAGAAGCGTGATTATATGTATGTAAAAATAGCAAAATTAATGCTGTAGAAATGCGATCATTAAATAGCATGTAACAAGCGGTGACTGCGAATGATATAGTAATTGTGTGATAAGAGAAACATGTGCTTTGCAAAAAGATGTTGTGATCAGGATTAAAAATGGAATTCTTTGGTGGTTTGAACAGGCTGGAAGAATGAATGAGGGAAGAGTGACGATACTCTAGGTGTTACCTAGCGAGAGGGCTTATGTTATGTTATGTTTTATTAGCGGTTTTATTAGCTTGATTGACATAATATAAATTGTCATCATATTATTTTATCCTGTGAATAACATAAGAGGTGACTTGAGAAAAGTTCCTGTAACCTGCCACATGTTCCTATAACATAGGATGCATATTAAAGTAGTATATAGATTATAGAATCAGAGTGACACGCGAGCACACAGTCCACCTAATGGAAAGTGGATGCTGTGGGCCATAGACATACATCTATCCTCAATTAAGTGTTAAAATGAAGATGACAGAACGATGACTGGAGCCATCGTCATTAATTCCATAAGGCTCCTAAAACCAAGGAAATATTTATAGACATAGCTGCATCGCGTTAAAATTAGTACTAATGTTAAAAAAGAATGTACTTACAAAAAAAGCTGAGTGCCAGCCATCTGTGGCGAGACCGCTTCATACTGCCAGTTTGACCTGTAACAAACGGAATTAAGCTCAATTAATTTTAATATACATATTCGTTGGTGCGTCTTTTAGTGATCGCGTAACTTTTGACCGACTTGACCGATTGAGGTTATGTTCATACAATATATTTGTTTTATAGTGACGGTAGTTCAGAAAGATGTGTTTAGATGATGTCTCCTGTTTCAGATTTGAAACAGGAGACTGACAGTATATAATAAAATATTAATTAATACATTTTTTATATTATATGAGTTAGTAACAACAATTTGGGACGCAATTGGTTCCATTATAGACAAAATAACTTTAATGGAAACAATCCATAGATCTGCAGTTTTCTTAATATTTTACAAAATACTATATTTTATAAAATACAAATTCTGTACAGACATTTACATATGGAGATGATACATTCACATTCGAGGTCACGTGAAGTTAATTATTTTTTTTATTCCGAATTGAATTAATTATACTAAGTAAGCCTCTATTAACATAAGTTCTACGTTGATTGGTAGTACCAGAAAAGTAATTATACATTCTGTTTCTCTATCAGCCTGATTAATTCAAGTTTATTTTTTATAGAACCAGTGTGACACGCGAGCACACAGTCCACCTCATGGTAAGTGGTTGCTGTGACTCAGAGACATCTACATCTATCCTCAATAAAGAATCAAAATTCAGATGAGTTGTCACACTTTAGGACTAAGATAAAGTGACTTGTTTCCAGTAAAAAGGGTCTCCGGTTCCGTACACTCACCATACGAAACACAGCAGCATTAAGCTGCTAATCTGCGAGAGCGTGGTCCTTCCTCGGTCGGGTCGACCCATGCCACGATATGCATTCTGTGAGAACGTGATCCTTCCCCGGTCGAGCTGACCCATTCGTGCTACAACTATGCTACTAATATAGCTGCAGCATGGTTCTACCACGTACAAAAAGCTAGCGTAGCTGAATGCTAATGTCCACTAAGTATCTTGGGTCAATTTCTATCATATTTCTATAAATGACTGACTTATGAAAAATAATATACGGATTCCGACTATCTATCCATTCTGGGATGGATAGGTGAACACGCATTTCGAAGTACCTACCCTAGAGTGGCTGTTTTTATTTATATAAATGGAATAACCGAAATTAGAAAGTAATTAATTTAAATCATACCATCCTACCGTAAGATATTGTTGTAGAAATACGAACACTTTATGATAAACATTTAGCCGTGGTGGAGCGACAGGCAGTCAACCGGACACCGTTTATAGTCTGTGTATTATAGACTCACGTTTTCACATCAACCACTGCATATAAAATCTTTTGATTCAAATAAGATTATATGAAACACGCTGCAAACAAACAAGTGTCGGCTGGGAACGTTGCCGAGGCCTTGCATTGTTCCCAGTCGTGAATAGTAAGATAAATTTGCAGTAAAATAGCAATGGAATGTAGAAGTTTATTTTATTTTATTGCAGCCGCGCCATTTGCGTCGGACCTTCCTGCGGTTTTCCATAGTAGGTGCCCGTATAACAGGTTCTACTTTAGAATTTAAATAAGAAATATGCTCACGTGCATACCTTCTCTCTAGATACCCATTCGCGTGTACATAGTTAATAAAAAATAGAAATAAATGTATATAAAATATCGTAATGATAGGGTTTTAAAATTAATTGCAAATTGAGTACTTTTTTATATTATAAGGTGGATGCTGCGGCTTATAGACATCTACATTTATCCCAGATTAAGAATCAAAATACAGATGCGTTGTCACCCCTGAAGACTAAGATGGAGTGCCTCGTTTCCAGTAAAAAGGGTCTCCAGTTCTCTGCACTCACCATCCGAAACACAGCAGCATTAAACTGCTAGAACACCACCAGCGAATCTATTTTACTAGTAATATTGACTAATATAGTAATACGATCATGAGGTTCAGAATTCAAATCCCGGGTCGAGTCAAAGTCAGTGATTGGATTTTTCTATCCAGAAATTCTCAGTAGCAGCCCAGAGTCTGGAAGTTGGTGGTGTTTCATCCCGTCCCTCTGGAAGCACGTAAAGTCATCTCCCGATCTCTCTCCAGTTGTTTCACATCGGACCATGAGAGTGAGGAGATAGAGAGTGCGCAGATTGCTAGGCTCCGTTGAGATTGTCCGCGGTCACTGAAATTCGGTCAAGGACATCAACAAGAGTCCGATAAAATTTCTTTGGAGACCATATCATTATTATTTCCCGTGATATCTTTACTAAGTGGGAGGATGTCTATTCGGCCTAGGAGTCCGTCAGGGTAGACACCAATCTCTTACCTAATTCTTCCGACAAACAGCAGTTCTTACACTGCTGTTCCAATGTGAAAGAGTATGGAGAGGCAGTATAATTACATGCTGTAAGGCATTCCATCTTATTCCTCATAGATGACGCAGCTAGCAGCCATCTTTGTTTGAAGTTAACTGCAGGTGTCCATGGACTAGAATAATTCACTATCAAGTGTACTGTAACATCGTTTCTCATTTAAGTTATACATATATATATACATCTTTAAAAAATTTGGTTCACACCCAAAAATTCTACCGTTCCAAAAAGCTTTCCTATAATGGCGAACTATCTATAAATCTTAGCTAACTTGAACGTGACGAGAATAGTAAAATTTAATTCAGATTCTTTTGTCACACAAATCTTTAGATACGGAATCAATTTGGAAGTGGAAACTACCGCTTGAGTAACGTAGTTTCCATTATTTTGTGGATTTGGTTGCTTAATTGTGCTGATCATGTTGTAATGGGTTTTACAAATGTAATGATTTCTTATTTAAACGAGTACTAAACATTTTATACGTGTTCAGGCCATGCTGCAGATATATTAGTAATATAGTTGTAGCACGTATGGGTCGCCAAGACTGGGGAAGTACCACGCTCTCACAGAATACCATCGTAAAATAGTAGCGTAATACTGTTGTGTTTCGTATGATGAGTGTAGACCACCGGAGACCCTACTTACTGGAAAAGAGGCATTCTATTTTAGTCTTTACGGGTGACAACGCATCTTCATTTTGATTCTTTATTGAGGATAGATGTAGATGTCTATGGGTCACAGCAACCACTTACCATCAGGTGGACTATGTGCTCGATTGTCACCCTATCCTATAAAAAAAATTACATTAATAAATAAATATTACATTATTTAAATTGAAATTTACTTGGTTGTGCCACGCTGCAGCTATATTATTGTTGTAGCACGATTATGTTGGCTCGACTGTGGAAAGATTGCGTTTTTGCAGAATACCAATAAACTAAAAATACAAAAGTACATATCTACTAATATTAGCGACAGTATAGGTTCATACAGTATACAGGTATATAGGTTCCTTGAACCAGCCCTCTTTGTTACAATAATTCTTTATGGACATTTCTGTAGCTTCTATAGCTAACATATTTGTTACAAAGATATACAATACATCAAGTGGACCATTACCAATTAGAAATAAGAAGAATTGTGAGTCTCCTAGCTAGGTTTCTTAGTAACCTGCATTTAGGAAGCCCTCTTTGTTAAAAGCTACTCCGTTGAAATCAAGGAAGTGTGCTTAAATCGCAATGAGACCCATTTAGGGTCACGGCGGAGTAACGGCGGGTCGTTCACCTTGCGCTGGCGCAAGGCGTCCTTGTCACCTCGATTACTTTTTCCATTATTGTTGGCATCGGCGCATTGCAGTGGACCGTTTTATTAATTCGATTTTATTGAGAAATTGAAATTTTTAATCGATGATACCTGTAGAAGTCTATGAGTCACAGTATTCATTTACCATCGTGTGGACTGTGTGTCTTGTCTAGAGGTCTAGGTCTTGGAAACTAGTTGTCAGATTTTCAATGGATTTTTATAATTGCGTGAGTAAAAAAGAGATCAGCACGTAAATATGGTGGACGCAATCTTAAAAAAATGCGAAAAGATGCCTGCCTGCCAAGCGTGGAACCTACGGCAAATATCCCCTCTTATGTGGAGGCCTATGTTTAACAGTGGATTTTAACAAACGAGTATAATAATATATACATATATGTGCATTGTATTCCTTAATACGTCAACATCGTCATCAATAGCTGTTGCGGCAGTCAACTGTTAGTAGTACGTAGGCCTCTCCCAAGACGCACTTGTAATGACATAGATACATTGATGGTATCAATAAGTACGTTACATATATATGGTATATAGTCTCTAGTGGAATTTTAACTAAGCGAGGTGTTGGGTGGCCCGCAGTGATGACCTAGTAAGACATTTTCAATTACAGTACCACATGTCTCACACCTTTGACGATGCACCCCGTTGCCGGTTTAGATATTTAAAGCATGGAAGAAACGAGATTATACCGCCATCATGAGCTCAGTCCACAAGATGGTAAATGGATGCTGTGGTCCATATACATCTACATTTATCCACGAAAAGTAATAAAAATGCAGATGCATTGTCACCCTGAGGACTAAGATGGAATGCCTCGTTTCCAGTAAACGGGTATCCGGTTCTTTACATCACCATACAAAACACAGCCGCATTAAGATGCTAATTTACGCTGGTATTCTGTGAGAGCGTCTCCCTACCCCGGTCGAGCCGACCCATTCGTGCTGCAACCATAATATAGATGAAGCATTGCTCTACCACGTATATATATATTTATACGAAGTATTAATTCTTTCTTTATCGACGTACTATAAGAGCGTGATGTTACGGCAAATTACAATTGTTCAAATACGTCGAGGTCGGCGCTCCAATTGGAAACAGCTGTATCCGTACGTCGCGTGTCCATTGTAACCACGGTCATGTTATTGCACCAATAAAGGTAATATTCGCGTTTATTTTAGATACAGAAGGGTACGTAAACATTTTTATAATAAATAATATCTTGTGGAGTCCACGAAACCGAAAAGCATCTTAGTACCTACACGACTTAATACCTACTAAATGTAGGTAAAATGTTCAAGTGATTGTCAGTTATTTCATCCGCCTTATTATCTATAGAGTTTAGA